CCGCTGGAACCGTTCGGGAGTTGCACCTGATACAGGTGTATTACCTATTTACAGTTTGTATATTACCTGCTTCAGGTAAAGTTGCTTGATTAAATTTCCGCCCCCCCCTCCTCTGCTCCTTCTCAACCTCCCCCCCCCCCTCGTGTTATCTTGTGTTAAAACAAGCGAGCTCTGTAGCACTTAGCCGGATTACAGGCTTATCTCGCTGTCATCCGACCAATTTCCATATCGTCGTCCGGCACCGTCCTCAGGTAATGGCGCCTAAACACCTGTCCGTGAGATAGCGCCTCTGATGGATAGCATATCTTAGCCTAAATAATAGTTTGCCGTTCCTATAGCCCGTAATAGTTGTTTTTTAATTTTCGTAAAATTATTATTGATCCCTTTATTCGGTATTTTTTTTTTTTTTTTTTTTTTTTTTAGAGTTAATATAACAGTAGATCTCTAAGGGCCAGTTGTACAATTGGAGTTCAAGTCAAGTTCAAGCTTGAACTTCAAATGTATAACTGTCCCTAAACAATTTTCGATTTATCAGACAGTCTTTAATCCTTCTCTTGAAAAAATTTCTTAACATTTTAAGAAGATATATAAATTATAACTTATTAGTATACCCGACTGAAAAATCTCACTTTAGATGGCTACACTTCTCCTAAATGCATTTAGTATATAAGCGAAACATTTATATATATATATATATATATATATATATATATATATATATATATATATACAATATAAGCAGTCTACTAATTATCAATATAGTCCATTCAACAGTCACAAGTTGTGAAACTTCATAATTAACATAATTCATAACTGTTTAAATTAAGGACGTAGAGATAGTTGACCGCGGTATAATATGAGAAGGAATTGATCAGAGAGTGCGGTCAAATAAATACTAAATTAAAGAAATAGTATTATTTAATTATTATGCCGACGTTTCGACTCACCTTGCAGGTCTTCATCAGGGCTACAAAAGATACTAAATAAAAAACCTACATGGTGAATATAAAATAAATGAATGATAAGTAGATATTTATTTATTTTAATGTAGAATATTTATTTATTTATTTTTAGTATTTATTATTTATGTAGATATTCATTTATTTTATTTTCACCATGTACCTTTTATATTTCTTATATTTTGTAGCCCTGATGAAGACCTGCAAGGTGGGTCGAAACGTCGGCATAATAATTAAATAATACTATTTCTGTAGTTTAGTATTTATTTGACCGCTCCCCTGATCAACTCCTTCTCATGTTTAAATTAAGATTTACTTTATACATGATTAGGTTGATCCAAGAAAAAATAAGACACAGCTGTCATTAAACTTACACTAATCCATTATTGTACTTTCTCAAGACCTATTTGTTTGGTCCAAAAGAGCCTTAGTTAGTATTTCTCTCGGTTACTAAGAGTATTGGGTCCTGTATATTTATTTATTTATTAAAAATATCAAGGATTTCTTACCATGATTGTATTATCCGAAATGCTTAAGCAATCTCAGATCTTCGTCGAATACTTTCATAAATATTAATATATATATATATATATATATATATATATATATATATATATATATCAATTTTGAAAACTTAATATACGATTATCAGTAATGCAGCGGAGTAACAGGCGCTGGGATCTCCTAGAGTCATGCCTTTCATTTCATGAGTAGTGGCTCGGAGTTCTCCTGAGTGAATGAATTTTTTAAAGATTCTATAAAAGTATGACTGTATTAAGACAAATTATAATATTACTCAATAAAGAAATGTGTTAAAAAAAAAAATAAAATATCTGATAAGTAAGCCATGATAACCAATATCTCTCAGCTAAAATTTTAAAAATCAATCTGATTTGCTTTTATTTCTACTTGATTTTTATAATTATTTTTCTATGAGAAATGTCTTTTTAAATTATGTTTTCAAAAGAAAAATTTACTATGACATTAATGATCGAATGAAGGTTGAAGACGATTTAATCGATCTAACAATCGAGCAGAGAATGAATAATGGGAAATTTCGGGGCCAAACCTCTAGAGCATACGAAATCATCTTAATCATCATAAGGCTTAATCATATTCTCTCTTTAAGCGAAACAGGCAGCGATAATTTTCATACTAACAAAGGCCCCCCCGACGGCATACAAATTCCAACCCTGAGGGGGGTAAAAATTCTCTTGTTGAGGTTGAGAAGTTGGCATAAGACAAGAAATGCTCGGTACATTTTTAATTTTCGTATTCAACTATAGAAATAAAAGAGCCGGGGATAAGGCTAAGGGGCATTAGTATTCATCTAAAGGTTCCTACAGAAGCATCTTACGACCTGACGTACAATTATGGGAAGGGGGGCTTCTTCGGATTTGCAATAATTATGGAAATTTATTCTCGCCCCCCCCCAACTCCAGGGCCTCTCTTTCTCTTTAACACAATTGCAATTATAAAGCGCTTACAATTTCAATTCATCTTCTACTAACTTACAGAATGAACAAGTCTTTTCCTGTACCGAGAGAGAACAAATTTAAATACATTCAAAAGTAAATCTGATTACCTTTTGGCTAATTTGTGTTGGGATTTTATATTTAAAGTCCTCAATTTATGAGAAGTTTTCATTTCTTCATCTGTTAATATATATGATGAATTTATATAAAATAAGTTGAATTTTAGATTTTTTATATAAATTTTTAGATTTCCTCCACCTTACTAGAAAAAAAAAATCATAAATCCAGTTTTTTAACTGTTTAAACTTAAACTTTAAACACCCAGCCTCTATAAAGTAGAGAGCTTTGACTGGAAAAACCTTGGGGTTAGGCACGTTCTCAGCCAAATCAACTCATTGTACAATCGTTGTCATAGAAACAGAACTACATTTTTTAGTTGAATTTTGTTTAAATTGTTTTTTGGAGCAGCTATTTTTAGAAACCTATAATTCCTCAAATTTGTGATAAATGGGAATGGAAATTGTCGCAAGAAATTTAGTACGGCTAAATTCGAAACTTTAATGATTTGATTTATTTTACTTACTTTTTATCAGGTATATAATATATATTGTTAAGCAAAAATTACCCATTGGGTCGGGTGCGTTTTACAAAAAATAAATAATTCCTTATTTATTTAGCTTTTGTATGGAATTATATAAGAGCTAAAAAATTACTTGGTTGTCTCCACTGCTAAATTAATAGTCCGTGGTACAGACCCCTTTTTATCGAACATCGCCTGAAACTTCGTAAATAGTTTTATCTTATCGTAACCTACAACTATTTTATTTACGAAAACTCTTGGATTTGGGACGTTTTCAATTTGTTAGAGGACAAACTTTGTCTATTTAATTAGGTCCTAAAAACTCGCAAATAATCATTTGCTTTCTACTTGGATCGTAAGATAATTGGATCACAAAATCGATAATAAAGATGATCTTCAAAAATATTGTGCCGTTTGACGTGACCTCCTCTCCAAATTTTTAAAATAACGAAGTTACATACGACAAACGGCCCAATATTTTTGTAGCCTACGTTTTCTATCTTTTTTTTAATCAAATTATCTTATGATTTAAGTAGAAACCAAAACGGTATTTACTAGTTTTCGTACCTAATGAAATAGTCAATGTTTGACCCCCCTTCAGATTGAAAACGCCCCAATTCCAAGAGTTTTCGTAAATAAAATAGTTGTAGGTTACGATGAGATGAAACTATTTACGAAGTTTCAGGCTGATGTTAATAATTCGATAAAAAGAGGCCTGTACCACGGACTATAACATTTTCATTGTTTGGCCATAGCTTAGAAGTTTACCGCGGTTCGATGCCCGACAATAATTGTTTTGAAGTCGGACCGATCACAGCGCTAGATGAAATCGATACTTAGTGGAAGATCGGAGCTTGCTATCGAGTTATCGAAGCAGGTCGATCGGCCGCCCGACAATGAACGGTCAAGAACAAAAGACTGCCAACTTGGAGATAAGAGAGAGCGAACCGCTCAGTTAATACTGTCGAGAGAATCAGTTTCTTTGTTCCCGGAACACAAATCCCCATCCAAGTTGTAAAGGCACTCACCCGGCTGTATACCCAACAGGTATCCGCTACTCTAAAACTCTCAATACTACTCACGATTACAGACAATACACCACAGTTCTAGGCCTATTCAATTATTCTGGAGCAGGTTCTAGTCGATTTGGGCCTCATTCGTGGATATTCCTAATAAGATTATAACTCTTCACTCGACAAGAATAGAGTAGAACATAGGTTCGTGAATTCTGGCTCCCTTGGTCATTATCAGAGATCCACGAATAAATTTCGAAATTATATTTACATATTCAAAATTTACAGGTTAATTATTTTAGTTATTTAAATACCAGACTGAAACGACAAGAAACCGCTTGACGTTTCCGAATACTTCAGCACTTACTAGACAAATGCTCTAAACTTCCAGTTAATTACAAATATCATGAATTCATATAAAATAAGTTGAATTTTAAATTTTCGTCCACCTTATTAGAAAAAAATCATAAATCCTGTTTTGTAACTGTTTAAAAAGTTGTTCTGTTTATAATGGGTCTGTTTCAGCCCTAAGGATCCTCCTGGACACACGCAGCCTCTATAAAGTGGAGAGCTTTGACTGGAAAAATCTTGGGGTTTGGCACGTTCTCAGCCAAATCACCTCATTGTACAATCGTTGTCATAGAAACAGTACTTCCTTTTTTATTTAATTTTTTTTTAATTGTTTTTTGGAGCAGCGATATTCAGAAACCTATAAATCCTCAAATTTGAGATAGATGGGAATGGAAATTCTCACAAGAAATTTAATATGACTTAAATTTGGGCACCTGGGCACCAAGGCTCATATACATGACTATAATAATGCCTATTTGGACTTACGGAGTTGAGCTATGGGGCTTCACTAAACCATCGAATTCCTCTTATTATTTATTATTTTCATGCTTTGAAATTCCTACGACCACTTAATCCCTGATTCGTGTAGATCTCCTTTATTGACTCGACTCTCTCATCAAAAATGCAGAAGACGAGCGCGGTTCGCCGACTCCCATTGAGCCGGAACAATCGAGCCCGGCGGTTTGTTGATGAGTACTCCCATTGTTCGAACATTATCCTGGAGCCGAGGTGATCCTGGGGGGGGGGGAGGGGGTGTCAACCGCACTGCCGCCGGGGGCTGTCTTGGGAAGAGAACACTAGGCCTATGATAATTGGCAGCGGTGTATATTGATTCAATTCCCGCTGAGCCGCCTCCGGCTCAAAGCCCGCCAGTGCCTCCTCAATCACAATAATTTGGAAAACGGTGGGTGCTTCTCGCCCCGGGGGGGAGGGGAGGTAGGTAATGGCATCTTTGTCAAAGGACACCTTCAGCCTCTGTAGCACCTGTCAAATTGACGCTAAAGCCGTTCAGTGTCGAAACCATTACTAATCCTTTAAGCTAATTTTAATTATTTCAAATTCTACAAAAATAAAATCATAACAACAATAACACCATTTCTATTAGTTACATAATTTTCTATATCTCTAAATTAGTGGATAATTACGGTAAGCACACCAGTGATGAACATAGCTAAGGAAATTTTTGTAATTTTTGGCTTATGCCACCATAATTATTATAGTTACAAACTTCTACATTAGACATTTAGAATATCCCTTTTTCTATTTAACACTTTAAAATAATAATAAAAATGAGTTATGCAAACGTAATCACTGCAACCCTTTTCCTCAGTGTACACCGCATAACTTCTAGGAATCAACCCCGCTGTTTGCATTATAACTCCAAATTAACTTCGCTCAGCCATATGTTCAGATAGACCCCTTTACCACACACCCTCTAATTACAGTAATAAAAATACAATTTTTATTTACAAAGAGCACTTTGTAGAGGTTGGAGAGTCCCTTTACCCCAGAGTAGATCTTCGGACAAGAATACAAAACCCAGAGCATAAGAGCACAGTGCCTTACTCATTGAGTTATATCTCTCCCATATAATGGAAAAGCGGTATGTTTTTTCACTTAGAATAGTGTAGATATTTTTCTATCTATATCTGTCCGATACGATTTATATTGTATATTCTAAAATATAGTAATAAGCGAATGAGCTGAGAAAACTTGTACTAAATTAAGTTTGCGACTAGGAAGTATAATGCTTTCGTGAGCACCAATCCAACGAGGTAGTGAAGGGATCACGAAGGACCGGACTAAAGGAAAAGAACTGATTAGGGTGTCCTGGAAAGGGGGGGTAGGACCACTTTGTTCCTGGTCATTGTTCTGTTCAGGGTTCATTCCCTCAGGAGTGTCCTGGGGCCTTCAAAGGACTCCAGTCTCGATGTCTGTGCCTCGAGTTCCGAAGGGTCATTGTATAGTGGTCTGTCGGGGTGCGAATATATTAGAAGCACTAGATGAAAGTAAATTCTCATTAGTTTCTGATTTTGTTAATTCTAATAAATAATTTAATGAATTATTACGATTTATTTGAGGCATAAATATAATTATTTATAAACAGTTGAGAAGTAATTTTGGAATTAATATTTATGATAACACCAAAATATTGAGGTAGATACGAATAAAACAAATATAAATAAATATTTATATACAGTCACCATACTGCTTTCTGAAGATCCAGATGGTATGCCCTGACAACATAGGTTGAAACGTTGGACATTGTAATAAATATCTTATATAATATGGTATTTTTTACTCATCCATGACTAACTTCTTATGAAAATAAATATGTATTTATTTATTATTTTAATAAATAACATTTTTTTATCTTATTAGAGAACATTAAATTAAAAATACTTATAAAAAAAAACATGAAATCATGAGGACAACTAGAAACGCAGTTCATCTAAAAACAAATAAGCAAAATATATATATATATATATATTAACTTGGGTAAAATTTATTTGACTCTATGAATTTTTCTCAGAGCTCTTCACATTATTTAAGACCAAATTCATCTCTATATATACTATATATCTATGTATGATGGAACACATGTGTTGATCAATTAAGAATATTGAAATAAGGGACGCTTTTTTCTTTCAAATATTATTCTAAGATAATGCTTAAAGTTATGTTCTCTGATTTTTTTTTTTTTTAACCTATTACAATACTTATTGATGTTGTATTTTATATTAACAAACATCTATGCATATCCAGGGAAGAATAATATGATCAGCTGTATATTATTATGTTTTTGACCTTCAATGTTTAATGCAGTATTTATAATCATAGACATCAATCCATCAACACTTATGGCTCATATACAAGGAGTTAATAAGTAACTAATTATGTTATTGTGATGGCATCCTATAAACTAATGACGTTTTTGTTTTTGTTCACAGAACCTGACTTTGTTGGCTCTTTTGACATAGACCAGTATGTTTTCTTCTTCTTCCGAGAGACCGCAGTGGAGTACATCAACTGTGGTAAGAGCGTCTACTCTCGAGTGGCGAGGGTCTGCAAGAGAGATACCGGAGGGAAGAACATCCTCAGCCAGAACTGGGTCACTTACCTCAAAGCAAGGCTCAACTGTTCCATACCCGGCGAATTCCCATTTTATTTTAATGAAATACGTGAGTCAGATACATAGTTTATAATTTATTGAAATAAAATTTCATTTGCATGAATTCAAATGAAGACAAAAAAAAAAAAATTTACTGTTCAAATATTTTAAAATTAATCATACTTTTCAAGTTGCGGAATATTAATAAAATAAATATCCATCAGTAAATATTTAATTATAACTTGTGATACATCATGCAATATCCTCTCAGTTTATTGCAAAAAGTCACTAATTACATTTTTCATAGTGCTAAACTTTTAAATGCGTTTTTGTGAATTTTTGCCTTATTTATCAATACAAAAAACCAGAATGTGTATAAAAATAACACAAATCTTTTTATAAATTAAACATAGTTATGCTAATTGCACAAAATTCTGTTTTCATTAAACAGAACTTGAATAAATAGATGTTAAACTTTTATCATAAACCTGTGGCGTTCCTTATAATTTTTATTTGAAGAACTTTTTTTTTTTAGAAAATTTCACAAAAACTGTTAAATTGGAACTTCTTAAAACGGTTCAAACCCCTCGTTTATACATTCTACTGTATTCTATCTCAGGATGAATGTATTTAAATTTTATCATTTAACCAAAACATGCTTTTTTGTTTCAAATCAATTCTTTTCTCCGAAACATTCATAATTCTACAACACATTTTGTAATGCATCACCTTCTTTCTAGAATCTTTGAAGGTTTTGTGGAATCAATCTTAAAATAAAAAACCTGCATTATTCTTACCAAGTTTTCTTAAGATTATAATATCGTAATTTAGCTAAAGTAATTGAAGGCTTAATATAAGAGCTAATTAAGTTGAGAATCACTAGTTCCAGTCTGCAATGGCAGTGAAATCATTTTAATTAGAATGAATTTCAGCCTTCAAGTAATTCATTTTGACTTATTGCTTGATTAATTTTTTTTTTTAAATAAAATATTTCATCTTTACAGAAAGCATCTATAAAGTTCCTGGAGACAACACTAGATTCTACGGCACATTCACGACAAGTACGACTGGTCTCATGGGTAGTGCGATTTGTGAGTTCGATCTGTCAGCTATTCAGGCAGCGTTTTCTGGCAAATTCAAGGACCAAGCTACTTCCAGTTCCGCTTGGCTACCTGTTCTGTCGAATAAAGTTCCTGAACCGAGGCCAGGGCAGTGTGTCAACAACACAGAAACTTTACCAGGTTGGTATTCAATTCTGCCATCATAAAAGAATCAAAAAGAAATTTATTGTAATTCATTGTATAAGGCTGAAGAATTTATTTTGTGGAAATCTGGTGTGCCCAAGGAATATTATCTTTAAACTGTAATATAAAATTAAATATTATCTTAATACTGTAAATAACCTGTTAAAATTTAATTGTAAATAATATTGTTTTTGGCTGGAATTGGAAATATCCTTCCGCTTTATATGTGGTGACTAGGTTATTTTCACTTGTGAATATTAAAACAAAACCCCGGCACTGGATATAGACTTTCAAGGGTGTTTAACTGTCTTTGGGAATTCGGGAATCTAATACCTTTTGTGACATTGAGTGAGAAGAAACAATAAGAATATATATTTTAAATGTGGGACTTAGTAAATACACTTTGAATGAATTGACTCACCTGGTTTGTTATTCTTCAATCGTGAGGCATATAGGACAACTGAATAAATAAATGACTTTTCACTCCTGTATAAAAAAATAATTTGTTTCTACAACTGTAATAAATTAACTCTATTAAAGTGTTATAACTATTGACTTGATCTTCTAAATCTTGTAGTAGACTCTCTTCCCAGTTATGTCGTTTCGCCTTAATGTCTCAGCCTCAAGTGCCTTCTCTCTTCTCTGGCGTCTTTCTCCAGCTGTTGCTACCTGGTCCGTCCAGCGTCCTTCTTCATCGATTGTTTATCAATATGAGACTTTTCAATGAACAATCTGTATAATGCACAATTGAGTACAATTCATTGTGCGACCTCACATTCCTATGTATTATATATCCCTTCTCATTCCCTCACACAATGTCATCTAAAGGAGTAAATACCGGGGGATGTCTACTACAACATGATGAAAATTAAATTTTTTATCTCTCTTAAAAAAGTGGAAATTTCACAGTTATGGGTGACAGGTATATCCGATTTAACATTGAGACTGACATATGTAAAATATAAATTTTAAGACATATTTATTTATAACTATAGTATTTTTAGCTATAAGGTATATTATTTTTTTCAGATTCTGTGCTGAATTTTATTCGATCACATCCGTTAATGGACGCTGCTGTAGCACATAGGAATGATAGACCTGTATTCTACAAAAGAGACCTGCTCTTCACTCATCTTGTTGTCGATATATTGAGATATGATGTGTTTGGTGACAAGCTGGAATTCGTAGTTTACTATACTGGAACAAGTAAGAGACTTTATATATATATAAATTTTTTTTTATGGGAGGAATAATTTATGCAAAACAATCGACAATTATTATATTATATTTAAAAATCAACTATATGAGAATAATTTTATTAACAGATCTTGGACGAGTATATAAAATAGTGCAATGGTACAATGAAGAAGGAGAACCTCAGTCTGTACTTCTTGACATTTTTGATGTTACGCCTGGAGAACCTATTAGAGTGATGGAGATTTCAAAGAAGGTATTGAATTGTTTTTATAATTATTGTTTTATTCAATATTTATTATCATCTTATTTCAAGAGCTATTCAACTAAATATTAGAGAAATAAGTAAATTGGATTAAAAATAAAATTACAAGTCAAGTATTTGAAACAAGCTGAGCTCCAACCTGTCTATTTTATACATCAGAAGATTTTAAGACCAAGTCGGTATGATTTAATGAATAACATTCAAAATTTCAAATCATTTCGTTTTGTGGTAAAAAAAAAAACGGCTGTTCACTAAAAAAAATAAAATAAAATAAAAACACCTAATACTAAATACTAAATAATGGTTGATCCATTTGAAGGAAAAATTCCCCTCCAAAAATAACCATTGAGAAAAAAAATACCAATGTTTAAAATATAACTACAGCGCTCATAAATAATTGTGAATAAGTTTTCATTCATTTGGAAGTAGAAGAGGGAAAGGTTTCTCTCCTTGTTAGATATTGATCATTGTAGATGCATCAATGAAATTATTTAAATACCTTGTTGATGCCTAGAACAATCTATTTTAAATAGTTAGATGGCTTTATAATAATACAGTTTTTATGAGTATAGATATATTTTACAATATTTAAAGAGAACATAAGAGTACTTCAGCATAGATGTTAATTTTAGTTGTTTTTTTCCGTTGGTATAGTATACACTGTTTTTCGATAAATCTATGTTTTCTCTTAAGTTGCCTCCAATATGTTTAAAAGTTTTTCATTGCAATTTATTTATAGTGACTATAAATTATATTTATGAGAAGTTTCACTAGCCTTCAGTTTTCCAGATTTATTGATGTTTACGTTACTGTTCTGATAGCATGATGTTACAAAACCCTAAAGCCTTCCTACATATACTTTATTTATAAATCAAACAAAGGTTTTAAAATCAGACTTGTGATTCTTTAAATTAGCTTTATATATTAAACATTTAAAATGTTTAAAACTACTAATAATATCTATTATATTAAATTTATAGTTAGTATAATTTTAATTTTAAATTTTCAGCACAAATCTATTTACGTTGCATCCGATGAAAGAGTGAGGCAGATAGATTTAGTGATGTGTAACCGCCGGTACGACAACTGCCTTAGATGCGTCCACGACCCTTACTGTGGTTGGGACAAGGATACAAATACCTGCAAACCTTTCACACCTGGGTAAGTAATCAGCAATAGTTAATATTATACACTTAACCAAAGGATAAACAACTTTATGATTAACAATCTTATTTTAATTGTTCATTTTAAGTTGTACCTTTATTTAATTTTTACATTTGATCAATAATAAATTTAAAAGACAAAAATGCTCCCACAAACCCATTTAACAAATAAAAATACTTTTTTGGACAAAATTTATTTGATTAAATTTTAATAAGTGCCAAAAACGTCATATTATTTTATTTTTCTTTAGTAGTTGATTTTTTTAAACTTTCTTTTCCTTATTCAAATAATCTACTACATCAACTTACAAACAGGCTGCTTAAGTATACTCTAATGAGATTCATTTTAAGCTATAATATATTTATAGAATATAATAGGAACTTTTTTTTTTTGAGATAATTGTGTCCTTTTTCGGTACTTTGCTTAACATTAGTATTTATTACAATTGTAGATTGCTTCAAGATGTCAGTAACAGCAGTGCGAGTGTCTGCGACAGTTCTGTTGTGAAGAAGAAGCTCTCTGTAACATGGGGACAAAGTGTTCATCTTGGCTGCTTTGTAAAAATGCCTCAAGTTTTGGCGTCGCAGACCGTGACATGGTATCACTACAGTAAAGAAAAGGGTCGATACCAAATAGTTTACAGGTAAGGAAAATTAACTTATAGATGACGCAAGTTTAGATTTACTGTCTTTTGCATAAAATAAAGTCAATTTTGAAATATATAGAAAGATTTTAATGCTATATCAAGTATGAAATTATTTTATTACTAAATATATACTTACTTTTCAGGGGTGATAAATATATTGAAACATGTGAACGAGGATTGGTAATCGTGAGTGTTACCGAAGCAGACTCAGGCAGATACGACTGCTGGCTCGGTGGATCACTGCTCTGTGCATATAATATAACTGTAGATACCCATAGGTATGTAATAAGAACTTTTGGAATTTTAATATAGATTTGACTTATTTTAAGTATGTTATACGTAATTACGAATGGAAATTAAAATCATACTTTTTTTACAGATGTGCTCCACCTGGAAAGTCACACGATTATCATAAAATATATTCTGACTGGTGCCATGAGTTTGAAAAATACAAAAATGCTATGAAAAATTGGGAAAGGAAGCAAGCGGTAAGAATTAATGAACATTTTCAAATATAACTATATTATGTATATATACCAGGGTTTGAAACAGAAAATTTTAATTATTAAAAAGTTACGGTATCTGAAATTTTTAATATTGATTTTTTTCGAGTTATTTTGGAACTGTTTCCTTGTAACTTTCTGAGTAAAGGTTTTAAACAACTTTTATTTAAAAGTTTTGTCGATTTCAATCTAAAAAATTACTTTTATTGTTACCCATTCAAACAAACAAACGACATATAAGAATAATGTGTAATTATTTTAAGAAAAACTATAATTCTAATCCAAGCCCAATTTTCATTTATTTTTCATTAAACAGAACTTGCATAAATAGATGTTAAACTTTTATCGTAAATCAGTAACGTTCCTTATAGTTTTTATTTTAAGAACTTTTTTTTAGAAAATTTCACAAAAAATGTTAAAATGGAACTTTTTAAAACAGTTTAAGCCCCTCGTTTACACATTCTACTGTATTATATCTCAGGATGAATGTATTTAAATTTTATTATTTATTCAAAACATGCTTCTATGTTTCAAATCAATTCTTTTTACATAATTCTCCGAAGCATTCATAATTCCACAACACATTTTGTAATGCATCACCTTCTTTCTAGAATCTTTGAAGGTTTTGTGGGATCAATCTTAAAATAAAAAATCTGCATGATTCTTACCAAGTTTTCTGAAGAGTATAATATCGTAAATTAGCTAAAAGTTGAAGGCTTAATGCAAGAGCTAAGTAAGTCGAGAATCGCTAGTTTTTTGTGAGAACCGGTTGATATTAAAGTCCCGACTGACCAGGATTTTGCATTGATGTGTAACAGAGATTCTATATGACGAAGTCTTTACCTCATTTAAAAAGACTATTGTCATGTTTTGTACCTAACTCTCCCATCAACCAAACAATATTTTCCACAGACAAATTGCATTAAAAAAAAAGAAAAAATCGAAAAATTTCTACTTAAACCTGATTCTTGCATCAAGACCCTTAATGTCACTCTATGGTTTTTAACTTGCTCTTGAGCTCTTAATATAGGTTTATATTATTCTGACTTCAATTTTTATATTGTATGTATATATTTTTTTACAGCAATGCAGCCGACAGAACGATACAGCAGCCTCAGCCAACCAGAACAGTCATCCAAATGAAATATATCGAACTCCAATAGTGTGAAATTTCTTCTACCCTTAGAGTAAATTACGAGCTCTCGTTGACAAAAATGAAACTTAACTTTATGTTTACCCTTCCTTGACAGACTATAATAATTATATTAATAATAATAATTATGAACAAAAATTATGAGGGTTACTCATAGATGCCCTTCGTCCCTTGAAGACTGATAGTTCTTTTTATAACACTAATATTTAAGAAAAACTAATTTAAAAAATATTAGTTATTTCTTACGATTTTAGTTTTGTTTTTTCGGTTTTTCATCTTATAAATCAAAAATTAGTAATTAGCTATGTAATGAGTTAATCAAGAGAAGGCATTTTTTTCAAAGGATTATTTTTAGAATATTTAAAAAAAAAACGAATTGTTACTTGAGCTCGATTTCGTGACGAAGGAAGATAAAAAATAGTGATCTTAATGAATTAATGCTATTGAAACTACGATGGTTTCAGTGGGTCTGTGATATCAAAACTTTAAATATTAGTGTTTTTATTTGGTTATTAAAAATCCTATTATATGGAAGTTAAATAGGCAAAAGTTAAAAAAAAAAAAAATGAACTAAGTGACTATTAGAATAGGAATTGTGCGAGTTGAAGCTATGTTTTCTTAATGACAGTTTTTTTCTACTGTGTAAAATTAAATTTATTTCACTACTTCAATGGAATATTACCAGTTAAATTAGATGATATTTTATAATCCTGAAATTCAGAAGAAAATCAGAATTGTAGGACTTGTATTATATACATATAGTTATAGTTTGGTTAAGAATTTCAATGTCCACCCACTCTTCGCACTAGAAAAGAAATCCTGTCATTAGGAAAACCCACCTTGTACAGCAAATATAATATAAGTTAATGATATAGGTGTACTGGCTATTGGCTCCATGTTCTTCATTGTACCTCGGTATTGTATTGTCCTTTCTCCGTTTTACTTTTTTTTTATACTTTGTATATAAATATATAAATTGATTGAGCGATAACTTTTATGAAATCTAAGTAGAAATGTATTTACCTCTTGTATAAAGAAATTAAAATAAAAATATACCAACTGTGGTATGTAATGTTGATTAGTACATTTTTACCATTGGAATGGATTAAGTAAAACTGTGTATATATTTATATAATGTTTGATTTGTTTTTTTACAACTTTATTTTAATTGTATATAACAATATCAGTTTTAAAAACTGAGAATTGCTGGTTAATATAATTCTTTGAACATCGATAATTTTAGTTGTCAGTATATATGTACATTGTATATTTATTTGATGTTCCAGTGACATGAAAATATTGTATATAAATTTAAGTGCTAAAGTTCATTCCAGATACCTGGAGTAAGTTAAAATGGTGCTTTTAAGTTTGTTTGGTATGTTCTATAACCTATTGATAACACTGCTCTACAAACAAAATAAATCTTTTTAAAAAAATGTATGACAATCAGCTGCCAATTAGTTATTTATTTCTAATTATTGCATTTAGAAATTGAACAATTTTTTTGTTGGGTTTGTGAATAATGGTGCAATTAATATGAATTCATTTTAATATAAATAAAAATCTTCTTTTATTCAGTTGAAACTGGATATTATTTAATACCCCTTCATTTAAATATTGGTCTAAAAATTATAACTTGTTAGATACATTAAAGAAACCATTAAGTCAAGATTATGGAGATCGATTTTACTTTTATATATTTATTTAACTAATTCAATCATTGGAAAAATTGATTGGAATGTGCTATAAATGAAATACCAAACAAAAAATAGTTTTATTTTATTGAGTGTTGAAATGTCGCCCTAATTCTTAGGACTTCATCAAGGTGGCTCATCTGAAATCTTCAAAACAATTGTGACTTGTTTTAAAGGTTTAAAGCACTTGTTATAATGATTTCAGACGTACCTTATCATGAAGATGAAGTCTTAAAATATAGGATGAGATATTGGTACAAAATAAAATAAGACTACTTATCCGTGTGTTATTTCATCAATGACCAAATTGTTTCACTAGTTTTCAATATGGTGATTGAGAGCAAGATCACATTTATCACACTGTATATAGAATCCCAAGGGATGCCGGAAGTAGTCGATTATGTCCAAAATTAGATAAAAATAACTACCATTTGATGGCAATTCTATGTATTGGCATTATTAGTGGTTATTAAAATTATTATAGCTTTAATTATATCAAGACTGTTGTATTACATCTGCTCTCTAAGGAGATTTATTTTCTCCTCTTACTCGCCTCTCAGGCTATACAGGGTTTTTCCCAGCCTAGGGGTAAGTTTTAATGCCCATGTTAAATGCCCTTCCAGTGTTGTGATTTGAACTCATAAACTTAAGTTTATCACAGAGTGCTCCAGGCAACCCAACTTTGCTCACGTGTTAGCACGCTAAGCCACTTCCCAACCGCTCTCTAAAAAGATTTTTAAAAAATCAAAGATATTTTTCAGTTTGCCATTCAGAGCCTAAACTAGAGGGCAGGGAAAGGGTTCTAGCTCTGGGAAAAAGAATTTAGAGAGTGCCAAATTCGAGTTGTTTATTTTTTGGTTAAACAAAAAATTTTGTTTCTGTATTTTATTGTTTTGACTTTCATTCAATCAATAAAACGAGTTAATGTTATAACATGATGATATTTATTGGAGAAGGAAAGGAGGTAAAAAAAGAAGGGTTTCAAAATTAAGCTTACCCCTATTGGTAAAATGAGTGTAAACATATTTTACACTTATCCACTTTAAATTATGCCAGAACACCTGCTTGGTAAAGTCCTAACTTCGACTAATTGTTAATTTAGCTCATGAGTGCGTGGAAGTCCAACAATAGTGATCTATTGAAGCAGTAATAATTTTAACAATCAGTTATAATTTCAATTAACCCCTCCTTAAAAGTTGGGTTATGTTACTAACTTAAATGTTCTGTGTAAATGAGGATACTTCTGGTGATTTTCACCATTCTTTGTGTTTCTATATACAGTATGATCAATCTGATCTTTTGTTCAGCCACAATCTTGGAATATTACCTTGAAATCGGTACTCCAAATAATAATTAATTGACAATTCATCAAAATTCAAACTGATTTTATAAATAAATTCCTTGATACTCCCATATTCATAATTTTTATTCTATGCTGTTGATGTGATTTTTTAAATTATTTTAATTTACTTCTGAAATGATGTTGACTAAATATTAGTGCATTTTTTTTTCTAAACATGATTGAGTTCTGACTGCATTGATTATTTTATTTTTTGCCTATCTTGTCTTGTCAATGATAAAGCAATATTTTAACTACGAGAATAAATTCTTGTTATTGTTAAGTTTTTATTTTCTCTTAATAAAAGTTTAAAAACACTAATGATTGATACAGATTAACAGTTGTAGTTATTTTTAATTTGGAAAAAAATTCAATATTTTTTCCTAAAATTTTGCAATAATACTACAGTCAAGCCAACGAGACACAACTTTCTGTACATATCTCATGTGCCTTGACAATGTTTCAATATTATAATTTATTTTGCTTTAACTAAATTCAATTAAATATATATATATGTTTTGGTGTAATGTCTTTGTAGAGCAGTGTAATAGATTAATGTTTTAAAAATTTTATCTAAAAAACAACAAAAACAAAAAAAAAAAATGCAAAGACAATGCTTCGACTTAGGATAGTTAATAATCTTTCCATTCCTGACACAATGAATCTAAAAGAGACAACCATCTTATATTGTACAGAAGCTATTGTAAATAGTGTGTATTTAAATCTAATTATCAATAATTTTTCGATATCCAAACTTCAAAATGTAGACAATTATGGCAATAAGTTGTAAAGTGTAAATATTTGTAGAATACACAGTCGTAAAGGAACTTTTCGACAGGTTGGAAAAGAGAAAGTTGATATAACAGTCATTTTAAGGAAGGTGAACCTCGCTTGGTTTTCACTTAAAGCTTGCTCTGTTTACAAATGTTATTGTTTACAAATCCCTACTTTGGTTATCATGCTTAGTTTAACCGTAATCTTGTAAGGATAATGTAATCATTAGCAGCCATAATTTATCTAAAATAAATCTGAATCTTTCCAAGTAATAGTTTTTTATTAATAACCTTGATCTATTTATTACCATTTCAGGGTATGAAGGGAAAGTATGATTTATAGTTACAGGTAAAAACAGGTAATTGTGTTTTATTTTAAAATAAAAAATCTGCAAATTAAAATAGTAATAATAACTATCTGAAGAATGTATGAACATTACACAACATGACATGAACAAAACAGTCCAAAATATATATTCTTCATATCCATAATATAATTGCTTCAACTACATTAAAATTCATTAATCTAAATGCTAGAGATCCAAAAAGGGTGAGTGGTTTAGACCATTGCTTTCATTAAGAGCATGTTTCATTAATAACAAATCTTTTATCATTCATTGATATCAAACTTCATAGGAATTTTATCAATGGATAGTAATTTTTGGAATAGTCTAGTATATTGGTCATATTGACAATATAGTACAGAAATAATTTAATTCAATGTATTATGGAAATAATTTTATTTTTCTCAGTCGAATAACATTAGTTCATTCATGTTAATAGACCAAAACAGGAGCACGGGCGGATCTACGGAGGGGGGGGAGAGGGGAGGCTTTCGGGCTGAAGCCTCCCCAAAATGGTAAAATATAACCATGTTTTATCGAAAAAAATATTAAAGTATCTCTTAAAGTATTATTATTCGTGTAATTACATTTAAAAGGGCTTTAGGGATAACTTAAACATCATTTCATACAGGTAGTTAGTTTCTTTCTTTTTTTCCAAAGTAATTATCGTTATTTTTATGAAAAGAAAACCTTTTGGGCTGAAGCCCTCCCCCCAAAAATAAATCCTGGATCCGCTAGTGAACAGGAGTACATTACTATAGGCTGTAGCTTTGCTAATAATGGTCCAATTTGATGATTTTTTTTTATTTTGTAGGGAATTAAGTAATCTTTCAAATAATCATAGGTGCAATCAACAAAAACATGTATAGAATTTACATTAGAATAAAATCCAACAATAGAAGTTACCAAATTTGCCACTAGGAGCGCTGTCATAAGTTTTATGGTAATTGGGAATTACAATTTTAAATTAAAATTGCAGTTGACACTAAAGACAAAATATGCTATTGCATAGACAACTTTGTTTTGGTTGCTAAAATCTGCATTTCTAGATTATTTTCTAGTTGTAACTCTTAAATGGAGTAGTTTGTGAAAATAGGAACTTGAAAGTAAAATTTAAGGTATATTGAATGCACGCACAAACAGAAACCAAAATTAATTAGTGAATTCTAATTAATTACTTAAAGAATTATAAAAATAACAATATCCCTGATGAGCCAATGTTTAATTTAATCAAATACATATAATATTGGAGTGAACTCATTTGTTGCAAGGAAGAGGCAGGCTAAATTTGTTATTGTAATTAACAAATTTATATGAATGATGGATAAAAAATAGGATTAAAATTTATGTAAAAATAATAATATAAAGAAAAATTATAGAGTGATGACCCTGTCCGGGAATAAGACCCTGAAATATCTAGATGTGTTAAATAAATCAGTAATAATTATACTAATAAAGCATAAGAAGGAAGTCAACGTTCTTAAATTATTATAATCTTAATAAATTATTATAAACTTCAAATAAATTAAAATATTAGAATTTGATACTTATTTATTTATCCTCCCTTCCTTGCCTTTGGTCAAAACATGTGTCGGCAACTTTGTAGGGTACGCAAAGTACGCAACATACATTTGATACTTATTAAATTATTTAATGTTTAACCAACACATACCAACTTGCTTTACATATATACCCTTGCCCGAATCTCATTACCACATAGGGGAATGTCCCACTGGTGGCAGATGGGGGATGGTTGTTTGGAATTCCTTAGAACTTCGTCCCGGCTGAGTCTGATGCACTCGCTGACCAAAAATGGGAGGAGCCTTGTAGACTAGCTGGAGGGTGTGACGTAGCTCTCAAAGTACCAAACTGTGATTGATCTTCCTAAGGCTCTTATTCTCTGGAAGCAAACTAGTCTCCGGGTGAGGACTGCTTTAGGAAATTCATGGCGAAAGTTACACATATCCAATTTATAAAACCTTTCAAAGTTTTTTTACACTTTTGAATATAATTGAAAGTGAAAAAACACATTTTTGTTCACTTTCTTTATATATGTATGCTTAATAATAATTATTATTATAAAATACATTAATGACATAAACGATTTATTTTGGTGTGTCATGTTAAAAATTAATTTTAAAATCTTCTTAGAAACTATCAACTTCAATGTTAAATTAATCCATTTCTTATTTATTACGAGAGCCCGGATTTTTATGAAATTGCATATTTTATTTGCATGCAGTTTTCAAGCCGCTGATATATACGAATCCGTGTACACAGATTCAATTTGTCAAATTTTATACTGCTCATTTGATGATAAATGCATATAATTGTATATTTGGATGATTTGATATATAAAAAAAATTGGAAATAATAAATTAATACTTCAGATGAAATTGTAGGGATACAAATTAGCTCCTATTATAAATATTCAAGTAGAAAATAAAAATATTTCAAAAGATAGAAGATTAAGTTTTTAGAAACAAATAGAGGAATTCATTTATTAATTTTAATGCTGAATGTCATTTACTAGTCTATTTGTGTTTTATTTGTTTTGTTTAACCAATTAGTTTTTAAATACAATCATAGTTAATTTTCTTTTATTACTAGTTGTTAATTAGAAGCTTTTATTATTTAAATTTTTTAAAAGTAATATAATAACAGACCTTGATTATTACTAACAACGAGAGGTGATTAATCATTTCAAAAAACAAAATTAGAAGTACTTAAAAGGATAGAATTTTGAAAATTTGGTATTTAAGGAATGTTATACAATTTGAAGGGAGCAGAGAAGCTGAGTGGTTGAGCACTGAAGTCAGTGCACAAGATCCCAGATTTGAATCTGGCTGATGACTAGAAATTTTTCATCAACTGTGGATCGACCTTAGGGTCGGGAGACCCTCCTGGGCACACCCAGCCTCTATGAAGTGGCTACTCTTAATTAAATAATTAATTAAGGGGGAAAACCTGGCGGTTAAGCATGATATTGGCCATCATCTCTCTGCACAACCATTGGCCTTGTAACATTACTTCCTCACATTGGACTGAACCCATAGCCCTTCATGGGTTGTTAGTTCAGGTTTTTTTTTTTAGTCTATTTGAAGGATATGAAAGATAATTGATATTAAATTGTACATTTCGTAGGCACCGTGTTAAAGTAACGAATGAGAAACTTTGGACAGGTTAACACTCATTATTTTAACATGGTACCGACAATTTATGTAACAAATTTAATCAAAGCCTTATTTTGATATATTATTGGATTGGTTATATGGATCTCATAAAGCATACTTCCCTTAAAAACTTTGACGTGGAATTTTTCATGATTGAAATACTTTCATTTACAATATATATTTGATATTTAGGTAAGTAAATGTAAAAAAAATAACGGTTAAACAAATCACATGATGCACAGTTACCATACTGAGAAAACAAAGAAGAAAATATCAAAGGTTACTGTTTATTCCCTCTAACAATTATTAAAATATTTGTATTAAAATTTTTAATGACCAAAGATATAAAAGTTAAATCAAAATCTAATATTACATTTTCACACATATACAATAAAATTGAATATACCAAATAAACAAAGTAATTAAGTGTTTATCAATTGATACAGTAAATGAAGCACAAATTACTTGTAGTACAAAGTTGAAATAAAAAAAAATATTAATTTTCCCATGTTAAATAAAATTAAAATATCATAAAACTCTTTGATAATTATCTCAGTTTATTTTTGATAAAATAAGCAAATATGTGTCAATTTTACACTTTGTAGAATAACAAAATTATGATTTTCAATAATTAATATGCTTTAGCCAGTATACTATGATTTTACTAACAATATTTGTGTAAAACAACAAATAATTTATTGTTAATTGATTATGGTTAATCAGATCATTATATAACTGTAAATATTTTTAAATAATAGTTGTTCAGGGGATGGTACCAACAATCAAATACTATGAGTCTTCGTTGAAACGATAAAATAATTAACAAATTGTGAAATAAATAATGTAAAATAGATAAAATATTTGGATTAGTCTGCCTTGTAGACATGTTCAGTATTAAAATTAATTATCAGAAGCATTGCTAAATTTGCTTCTGTGAAACCTAACCTTTTATAATCAGAAAATGATCTTTCTACATCAATGAGTGTGATAGAGGGCAAATTTATATCCGCTTAAAATTACTGAGTATATGTCAATGTCGCTGGGCACAATTGAATCTTTGCTATTTACAATTTTATTAATACCTTACGGAATTGTGAGACCTGAATTTTTATGGAAACTTCTTCCATTTTTCATTTGAAGATTCACCAACTAGGCCTGGTTCACTACTGGTTTTCCATTAGTTGTAAAAACTAGTTCATGTCTGTTTTTTAAGGTTCAATCCAAAATTTCAACATCGATGTATAGTTTGGAACATCGATAGATACTTTTGGCATTTGAAATGAACAGAAATATGATCTCTTGCTAAGAATGTAGGCAACAAACTAAAATAGAAACTTAGTATGATGTTTACGTGGGACAAGAAGAGGAGAAATGGATTCGTAGGAATCGGAGGACATCCATAAAGAGAATTATTAAGGGTTATAAGGGATGGTCTACAAATATGGTAGATTTTGTTCATTGAAAATAAACCTACGATTTTAATCTCGTATAGCAACTTCAATAATTCATTTTACTTTGTATATATATATTGTAATGTACACCTTTATTAGAAGGAAAAGAAAATGGCTGATCTGTAGTTTCCCAAGAAGGAAAATGCCAAAGAGGAGAGGGACAAAGGTTTTTGTTCTGGCAAGTAGTTGGTGTTTGGCTGCAGTGACGAGAGGATAGGAGGATCCTGGTTCCAGTGGGTAAAACCCAGTAATAGTGTCACCATTTTGGAATTTGTGTTTGACAGAACATTGGAAAGCATTTACAG